GTTGTTGTTGTTGTTGTTGTTGTTGTTGTTGTTGTTGTTGTTGTTGTGCGCTCTGTGTTGTATGTTGTCGGTTAAGTCGCTAATGCAACTTCCACTTGCCATGGCAAGTAGATCCTACATGCCAATGAGCCAATTAATTACAGTAATGATATGTTATAATGATATTGTTTGTCTTCTTCTACTGTATGTTACACGATGTTTTCCCCGTGGGGGTGGGACGGTTTTGGAACCCAGGCATTGCCCATCATCATCTCAAGGAAACCGCTCTGGTTGAAAGCTGGGGTCTCTTCTCAAGGAACCTATAGAGTTTCACAACAACCGTTATTCAATCTTGTCCATAGGTCAAACTTGGCAATTGTGACTCTACTTAGAACTAGTGTGCAAATCTGCGTTCCTGACTTCGTCCGGTGCAAACCGCAAGTGCTTCCAAACCTGAAGAATTCTCCTTTCGAAGCTCGGAAACCTCCACAGAACGAAACCGTAGAACCACTGCTCCGGGGAATTCTCATTCCAATCCTCGAGGTTTGAACAAGCAACTCCCATCCTGGAGTGACCATCATGACCTAAAATAAATTATCGTCATGAACATCATGAGCTCAAGAAATGAATCACACCTCTCCAGAACTCATCACACTGAGTAAATTGCCATACAAAACCGGAAGGGAACTGATCATCTCATATCATCTCTATCGATGGTCCTATCAACATGCCCGGACATACCAAACGATGGGAAGATGATTCATCTCTGCCAAAGAGCGGAGTTCCTGGTAAAAGCCCTCCACCGGCTCCTCGATGCCTCAGAGACGAACAAAGAGAGAGATCAGCCGGGATCGGTTGGGAGTTTTCTTTGTTTTTTTCCGAAAGAATCCTTTGTGCCTTCAAAGACATGTCGCCTTAAAATTCTATAACAATGATCCCAGCTTCAAGTCGCCTTTAACAGCTTGTCTATCAAGAAAACCGATAGACAAAAAACACAAAACAAACAACGGGCACCTGCAAAAATGCGAGCTGTTGGCAAGTGTTGGTATGATTAACACGAGTGAGAATGCGCAAAAGGGGAGTTTGCCTCATAATGCCGAGAAATTGGTGTGGTGCTTGGGGTCTGTACAAACTTTTGGCGCAAAGAAGCAGCTGCTGCTTTAATCATGTTGAATCCTATTGAATCCTTCACCTACCGACACCAATCTGCGAGCCGGTCCCTGTTTCACACCACCGAGCCGCCCTCCGCTGCTGAAGGAGGCTCTCCACAGTAGAAGGTCTCTTTCACTTCGGGACGTGGCGATGCCAAAGAACCTCTGCAATCGCTTCACACTTCACACAAAGACCTTGCAAAAATCATGCAAATGCCCTGTCCGGTGGGTAATGCTTGGTCATAGTTGTAGAGTGGAAGTGCATTCCCAAAAGATCGGGGACCAAAGGATATCCAGAGGGCGCTTCCATCATCAGTACCCCAACCAATATGTTGATCTACTACCGGATGTGGGTGACCTGATAAGATAAAGGCTTGCCACTGCACCCTTGGTGAGCTACAGCACCTTACCAAAAACAAAGAAGAAACAGTGCTGGATGTCCCACATCACCTACTTCACGCTGGTCGACCCAAATAACTCAGCTCGACCTGACGCCTTGGTGACAAAAACGACCTGACGCCTTGCGTGAAATCCAACGCCGTCTTGGAGTCTTGCAGGCGCTGGGTTGGTTTAACAAATAGATATGGGATGTGTGCTAATGTGATGTTTGTTTAAACTGTTTGGGAATTTATTCCTTTCTGGTCTTGAAATTTAACCTGAACTGCTTGGGTGCCGTTTTCAGCCCCACCACGCCAACGCCCGATTCCTTCACACCTCCCGGGGTGAAACCCCGGATCCGATGGATCCGAGGTCATCAACGCCACCGGGAAGCAGTTTTGCCCGCTGCCGTAGGGGTTAAAGCCTCGCCAGCCCGTCTTCTCGGAGCCTGACTGCGTGTGCCGGATTTCATTTGACTGGATGGTGCCAGTATGCAGTTTACATCCAGCATACTCTGACCGGGTCACTGAATGGTTTGGATGGGTTCAATTGGGTCGTTGTGGTTCCTCTTTGTGGCTCTCTAAGAAGTGCCTGATGGTGTGAATGGAGATCCCAGGCACCCACCAGTAGGGCCGGCACCCGCCCCGTTCGGTGGTCTGGCACCCCTGGTGGGTCGGGGCCCGTTCGTGGGAACTGCCTGGATGCACATGGGAAACATCTGGGAAGTCAATTGCTGAAAGACATCTTGCGCCATTCACGGAAGATCATGGACGATCCCCGACCTAGCGCACTTGGATGATTTTGGTTTAGGGAACACGTGGGAACATATTGTTCACCTGCTAGTCGTCCCATCTTGGGAATTCGGAAGCACAGAGACTGCAATCGGGGAGTTCCCCCACATGTTTGGAGGGATCACTGCACCCTTGTTGGAGGAGTAGAGCAGGGGAAGCTTTTGACATGGACGTTGACCATTCTCCATCATTCTATAGCGCTGGGCGGCTGGTGTGCTTGAGCTTCTCTTGATCAGGCAGGTCAAAGAACTTCTTGGAGACTGCCTCGGGCCATTGCGAAATCATAGCCAACATAGTCACACACCCAAAAGACATATCAAGCTTGTTTCATAAGTATTTTGCCACGAGATTGCAGTTGAAAACATGTGCAACAATTCATCACAAAGTTTCCACAAGTGTCCACTCTTGCTACCAATATTGCTCAAAGACTGAGAACAAACACTCTTAACCACCTGCTCCACCGGTTCTACTCAAAACCACAAAACAAGAGCTTCATCTACATGACACGCATGACACGCACTTCACCGGTTCTGCTCCGCCGGTGCTTCGAGCGGCAAAGATCCGGTCGAGGAGGTCGTGCGGCACGCCATGGCGCGTGACCAAGAAGAAACCGGTCCTGAGAAGAAACGAAGCAGGCAGGATGGACCAACTATACAGTGTAGAGACATGTCTGTAGACCCCCAGTCATAGATAGAAGAGTGTAGATCCCCCTTTAAAAGGTATCGGAAAGCGTGCCACTATCAATTTGGGGGATCAGGACATTGTAGGACTATGCAGGTCCTGAGTGAAGCAACTGCCTTGCTGGTGCTGGCGCCTGGTGGGTGGAGGTGCCCGAAATGTCAGGCGGTGAGTGGGAAGCTGTGGTATGCACTGTGCACGGTACGTCCACAGTTCCATAGTGTTCAGTGTCGGACATCTGTGAGGTCTTTGTGTCGGACATCTGTGGATCAGAGCTGAGCTGATTGATGAGCACATCAACTGAACCTACCTGGACCTTCCGAGGGCACCTCCTGGCTGGACATCTCTAAGTAGTGTAGAGTAGTTCATTGGTGACCCATTGGATGGCCCTGGTCATTGATGCACACGAAAGTATCCAGACACTATAGAGTCACTAGAGACACGTGCATTCATGATGACAGTAACTAAGAAAATAACTACTAATCCTGCTGCACTCTGCTGCATGAAATTGGACAATAATGTGTTCATCCATGTTTTAAGTAATCATTATAAGGTCATTATAGGCGGATCCGCCACCGCCTGTGTTTATGCCTTCTGCCAAGCAGACAATTCCTGTCAACTCCTTGTACAAGTGGCACTTGCGGTCATCAAACCCAGTTCCAACAACTCAAGTTGGTGGGGGAAGCCCAAGACCCTTCACCGCGCCGAGGTCGTGCGCCCAGCGGCTCTTCACACGCCCTCCGCAGCGTGGCCACCGCAGCGTGGTCGGTCTCGCGCAGCTGCGACACGTCCACCACGCGGAGCTTCGACTGGGTCGGTGCGGAGTCGGAGTCGAAGTGGCGGAGTCGGAGCCGACTGAGTCAAGTATAAGATGTATTTGGGACAGTCCCAAATGACCCCAAATGTTGATTGAAGATGTCAATTACTCAAAGCAAAAGAGGTGCTGTTTGAGATAGGATCCTGACTTAAGGCAAACTGTTCTTTTTTGTTCTTTCCCAGCAGGCAAGTCAGGCAAGTACATCAAAAACGAAAACTGCCGCGGGAGTTGGAGAGTGGACTCGCAACCAGCTTCGCAACCCAAGATATTCTCAGGGAAACCGGCGAACTGGAGCATTTTCTGGATTGAGTCTCCATTTTGGATCTATGTTGAACGTATCTGTCCAACAAACTATTAGGTCCTCGTTTGTTTTGTTTTCACCCCGCCAGGGTCCCCAAGCTCAGCCATTCTCCACCGAAACACCTCGTCCTCGTTCATGGAGCCACGCGCAAGGGGCAGGCAGCACGCCACTCGCAGCAATAGCAAAGACTTAAAGACCGGCGGGTTGGTCGTGTTCTTTTTGCGAGACAATGGAGAAGATGTGGCTGGGTGTGTGTGCGTGTGTGTGCGTGCGCGGAAGAATGTGGGCTGAAAAGATGAGGGAGACCCCCCAACCAAAGGGTTTGAGCTTATTTCTAGTTTCCCGCTCAAGCGACCTCATGAAACTTCACCATGCATGCTATGCGACCATGTGCGTTCCACTGGAAAAATGTTCACCGACCCAATAGAAGAAACGAACAGCGCTTTATATTGAGGGATTCTTGCGATGGCCATTCTTGCGCTTGGAGAAACGAACGGCGCTATTTGGGTAGCTGAAGTAGCTGCTGGACAGTGACCTGAGTGGGCCTTCATCCGCACAGTGCAGCATGCAGCACTGTTGGACTCGATGCTAATCTGCCGCCTCTTTGGGCGGAGCTGAGGTCTGACCAGCCGAAAAGACAACCGTATTCAATCCCATCATAACACGATACTGTAATGATTGATGATCATGACCAGAAAATGACCAGAAAGGGTGTGAATAATCACGATTAATCACGATATTGCCACAGAATTGCCCGTCCACCATTCTGGCCTTGGAGCGCAAGGATGCATCACCTGCTAATCATCGAGCCAACGCAAACATCGGACCGGTCGGTAGCTGGGTATAGGTGGTATACGTCTGCGTTGTGAAACTCCGAAAACAACGAAGTTGCCGAGCATCTCCGCAAAAATCAGGGCTGTTAATTTCGGACTTAAAGTCGGTGCAAAACGTGCAAAGCCCCTGTTCCATCTCTTGGAAAACATCGTGGGCTGCTCCGATGGTCTATGCTAGGCATTGTTAGGCAATGGTTAGGCACAAAGCCACCATGCCGGTGCTTTTGCATAGTAAAACCGCAGGGCCATTGACGACTTCTGGTATGGCTTGTGTTTGGAACAGCCGTCCATGGATATTCCTGCTTATTTTGTCAGAGGTCGTTTATGGAGCCCTATATATTGAAAAAACACATATTTTTGACTGTGCCAACATCTGAGACTGAGAAATGTGTTCCTTGTACCAATTGTGCGAACGTTCCAACAGAATCCTGCCGTCTTTGTACTGAAACTGGTTGACATCATTTCACCGGCAAGGTAAGGTGGTGAAGACAGATCGTGTTCGTCATCCTGGAGTAAATAGAAGATGGGAAAAACCCAACATGCCTATAAAAAACTGGACTTGTTTTGAGCTTGCTTCATCTTCTAATTTATTCCAGGAACCTGCAGAATGGTTCCAATTTGGACCGATTTGGACAACACCCTCCAACCTGGGAGAGGCAGTGCCCTGTCTCTTTCGGATGCGTCGGATCGCTCTGTCTAGGTGGGGTTTCTGGTTCTGAGGAAAACATGTACAGGAACCTTGGTTTTCACTTCCAAACTCTGTAGTCCATGGGTGTCCTGATGTTTCCTGTATTCCCTTGTAAGCCAATTTTCTGCTGGCGAGTTGAGAATTCTGCAGTTTAGTACGTGGAGGAAAAAACCACGGATGCAGTCAGAGGGAGTTTTTCGACTGGCGTCGTGGCTGTAAGCTGGAGGAACGATGACTGGCGTCGTGGATCTGGACCTTTCTGGGGTGGTATGTCTTCCAGTCCGGTCGTGTCCGGGTTCTCCAACCGAAAAAGCACTGAAGCGGGCATCCCAAAACTGACTCGGTCAAAAGCCGTGAACGGTCAAATGACCAGCGTCAAGGTCAACTCACTGAACGGTCGATTCGCCATTCGCTCGCGATTCGCTCGCGATTCGCTCCCAGTCGACCAAGCAGCTGAACTGGTCACCATTGGGCATGGCACACGTCACCTTCGGCCCTTCTGCCTCATGTCCGAGCCAGTCAAGCGAAGACCGGTTCTGAATGTTTCTGAACCGCCACCTCCCTGTTTCTATCGAAGTTCCCCCCAAAAAATCCCAACGACTTCCGATACAGATTCTGTTCAGTGAAGAAACCGAATCCGCCCGCTCATGGGTAGAACTTAGACTCTCAACAATCCTGCCATAACTTCATCATATTCAATCTATTCAATCTGCAATTCTTCGCGCCTCCACTGGTCTCGCTGTGGCCACGGGCGGCGACACACCTGGCAGGAGCGGGAGTTGCCGGACCTTTCTAGGATGAAAGAGGATGAAAGAGGAAGATACCGGAAGAGCATTGCCTTTTCCTCACTTTCACTGGCCATGGCTATTTGGTTTCCGGACGTTCTGACAAAGGATCCTTTCAGTGTCCTTGTTAAAAGATGTTAAAAGTACTTTCTCAATCGATGGTTTCGAGAAGAAGATTCACCGAAGACATCCAGATCGAACGGGATGTTTACCAGATGTGTATCTCTCCCCCAAGAGATGAGCAATAGATTTGCAAATGCATGAACAATGCGAACACTTACCTATGGGGGGTGGGCTTGGGTCAAACTTGCTTTAGAAGACAAGTTTAAGGCAATGCGGCAATGGTGTCCGGAAGATTTCCCGGACAGAACCCTGCAAATCCAACAAATCCATTTGTTGAGAAGGATGAAGGTACAGAAGGATACCGAAGGTAGATAAACCTTGACCCGACTTTTATGACCAGGTATTTTTTGACCAAGCAAGACTAGCAGTGGTATGTGTGCGAAGACTGGGCGTCGTTTGATTGGACATCGGACCTGAGGCCTGGAGGCCCCAGGGCCACGGATGGGGGGCCCGCAACCATTGGCCAAGTCATGCACGACCAGGGGCCATGGACGAGTTGTTTGGTGAATCTTTGTGCTATTTACCAGAACACACCAGAATTTAAGATGGACCTTTCTCAGTCCAATTGGTATAGTTTACCTGACGACCTAAATCTCAGGCTGAATCAGTCCCACTACATCTCCTGGGGCTCCAAGTACCTCTTTCAAAGGTGCTTGGGTGGGTTTGGAGGGGTTTCAGAACATGGATGCTTTTGGTATTTCCTATAAGAATGATGGGCCCATCAAAGGTGAAGGATGGTGAAGGTTTGACTCAGGTCTGTTCACCTCTGCGCCTCAAAATTAAAAACCCTCGAACGCCAGGTTTGATTCGAAGGATGCTTCGTGGTTCTACTTTTTGGGGGATGATCAACCTCAGACATGTCTGCGCCATTTGCTGCAGATGTCAATGTCTTTCCCCGCCATCTCCAGGGTTCACCTCATTTCCTTCCATTTCACCCCAGCCGATGATACTCTCCCCAGCCTTCTGAACGCGCTGGCGCCGAAGAAGGCATGGCCGTGGTCTTCGGTTGGAAGACCGGATCCGCCAGCAAAGACTGGAGAAGGGCAGAGCGGATGCCATCGGCGTTCCGGTGGGGATTGGGCCTACATGAAGCCCTTTTCAAGCATGCCAATGCAAGCAAATATTGACAATACATAGTCTCTGGGAGTGTTATCCAATCCAACAAGGCTTTTCAACATCCACAAACTGTTGTTCAGGCCATGATGTTCATGAAAAGCAAGGCTTTTCACCCAAAAGCCATGGCCTGACCCTATCACCTAAACCATCCGAGTCTTGAATCTGTCTTCGCATCTAAAAACCGCGGCCAGTAGGTAACTAACTCGTTCTAAACCTGTGAGGGACGGGAGTTGTTAGGATCGACCACCATGTCTGGATCATTTGATGCCCACCCTCCCCCCAACTAAGACCATCTCTGCGGATGAACCTGGGCATCCTGGGCCGCCGCACGTCGAAGAAGTCGTCGATGTCGTCCGGCGTCGAGGTCTCGAGCGCACCTGGCAAGCGGTGGCGTCCACATTCGGCGGCGTCGATGTAAGGAACGTGCGGAGAGGGTGGAGACTGTGACCCGTGACCTGGCACCCAACCTTGCATCCACATTTTAGTTATATAAAACACTTTGGATCTTCGTGGGGCCGTACCAAAAGCCATCAATAATAACAACCACATGAAAACATCAAGATATAAAATACAAAAATACCTATCAGACCGCAGACCTATCAACCACACAACCACATGAAACCAGTGGATTTATGAGTTTGGTGTTCACACTAGTGGGCTTCTGAGTTTGGTGGATGCTACAATTCTGTGCGAATACCGAATACCTCAATCCATCAGGGATTCTTAAAACGTGATTCTCTTCAGGGAGAAAATTACTCTTACTACAAACAAAAGTTCTTTCCGAAGCTCCCCCGGCAGGCACACCTCCAGAGGAGGGCAAGCCGCTGGGACGGCCCTGCAGGCGGTTGTGCGTTCAGTGCAATTTTGTGTAGAACTTGTACCCAGTTGCTGGACAGGCAGCGACCGTAAGCAACGACCGTCAACAGCAAGACAGTTGCTATGTGAAAGGAGCCACGGAACTGCTGTAGTAAATACCAGTACCATACCGATTGAGTGCCAGGTTGTCATCAACAACTGTTGCTCAGGCGCCAACACCCCGCTGTCCCTCGCCACTGGATTGAGGCTCCAACACTAGTCATATATATATATGTATAGATATGTATATAAATAGCTAATAGTCTTTTCCCCCAGGAAAACTAGACCTGCACGAGGACCCAAGTCGGACAAGTGACAAAGCCAGTGGTTTGATTGTGTTAGGGTTCCATCGTGGCTTTCGGTGTGTGTTCATCTTGTCTTTTCGTCGCCTCAATCACCTTCCACCATTTGTTAAAGTTTGCCAAAAATTGACTGAACAGGGATGAACAGGGCAACAAGATTGGCATGTTGTGTCATTCCATTTGACCATCACAAGTGTCGGATTGCCAACCTTCTACTTTGGTGTGTCGGGCCATCGAGCCCTGATGGTTCTGGTGGTTCTCTTGTGCATAAACGGTAGGACCCCACCCGGTGGGATTGATGTTTCTTCCCTAGCGCCATACCGTCCCCTGCGATCTTTTTGAAACTTTGAATTCTCTACGCCGTGCAACTGTGGGGGAAAATACCTTGATTCGCCAACTGGAACATGTTCGGATCCACAAATGTGCGTCAATTCAAATGATTGGGGACTTATTTGCATCATATTGCATCATTCTAAAGATCTGCATGGTTTGGTTCATGCATATCTTCCCTGAGCTATGGTGATTCCATGTGATTCCTACTGCTGATTGCCGAAACCCTGCATCATCTGGAATGTCAAACCTCAACTCGCTTCAACTCATCAGACATCATCCCCTCAAGCCAGGGATGCACTGTTCTGTCGCCCCTCACCAGCTTGAAAGGACCCTCTCCAGCACTGTTCTGTCGACCCTGTTGGAGGGCCACATCTCTGCCTTTCCCAGCTTGAAGTCCAGCGGCCAGCGGTTCAAGCCTTCATGAGCCCTGGACCATGTAATTCATGAACCACAGTCAACCTATAATTAGAGGACCCTCCAACAGGCAACCACCACTGGAGGCTGGGTCCCCCCATTTCCACTGTTTAGGTCACCAGTGGTTCTGAAGATTCCCCCCTTTTTTTGACCGATCGAAATCTAACATGCGTGGTTTCCCGGATTGTATCTCTGGAATTTCACAGCTGAAAGCTACGACAAGCATGCACCGCCTGGGCTCCCGAGCCTCTTGATCCAAATCATCGAACAGCGCCTCTCGACCGGCTCGCCGCGTTGACCGGTCGCACCGTCGTTCGCACCGACCGAGGCGATGCTCGGCCTCGATGTCGAAGTCTCCAAAGAGCTCGAAGGCCTGGATCCGGGGGTGGCCGGTCGCGGCATCTTTGTTGGAGCAGTCACATGCGAGCTGCCATTCATTCCTTTTGAATCAAATATCTATTTCCCTCATGGCTCCAGCACAAACCGCAATCAGTAGAGGGTTAAAGCACACCAACGGTTTTCGTGGCGGCTAGACAGTGCCAACACCACGCAGGTTCCAACGGTGTTTGTCTGCGCCCCACAGCGAGCTGAGCGTGTCGGTCAGCGACCTTCGACACCCTGTGGCCCGGAGCACCGGACGGATCGAACCAGGCCGACCCAAACCCTGAATTTGGGTATGGCTGTGGGTGAAACTGCCCGAAATCATGGTAGGTTGACCATGTCTGGTACAACTAGTCAGTCTATGTTCCTTTTCAGTGGTCTCCACCGGAACCAATCCCCACTCCCCCGAACCAGTCGCGCCTCCGTTGGGCCTGAGCCTGGAGGGTCTGAACATGTGTCCGAACGCATCTCGAGGACCCAACGGTGTCCGACCGAACGGTTGAGGTCAAGCTCCGTTCAGGTCAAGCTCGACCCAGCAAGCTGTCCTCAGACCCAGGTCAAGTTCAGGTCAAGCTCCGGTCGAATCCGTCGTTTGTACGATCCGAATCCGTCGTTTGATGGTGGAAACGGAGCCGTGAAGGTTGAAGTCTGTCCCAGCCAGCAGGGGGTATGATAGTATAGGGGATGGCTTAATGGTCCCCCCCACTTAAAACCCACAGGTCCCCTGGAACAATTAAATAGGCCGACCCCTATATGATAGAGACTTAAGGATCTACAGTTGATCTGCATGGCCAGGACTGAACACCACGAGCGCCAGCAGGCTGCGCGACGGACAGAGGTGTCGACTTGCTTGGATTTGGTTCCTTTTAGAGAGATGTGATCGATGAGGGGGATGACGGGGAGGGGCTTCGGCTGCCAAATACAGGAGATTGGTTGACGGTCAAGTGATTGATGTTCCTCCTGCAGTGAAAAGGAAAAGGAAAAGGAAAAGCGAAGGGAAAAGGCAAAGGAAAGGAAAGCGGGCCCGGCGCCGGGAAAGATTCGGCGCCGGGCAAAGAAAAGAAAGAAGAAAAGAAAAGGAAAGCGGACCCGGCGCCGGGAAAGGACGGTGCACGACGGCGCCGGGAAAGGTATCCTTTTAGTATGTTTTTGTGAAAGTAGGGTGGGGGGGACGGGGTATAAATGAAAAAGTTTCATTTTCGAAAGGGGGGGTAGGTCCCCCGGCGTCAAAACGGTAGGGATATTCAATCATTTTTAGATCACGTTCTTTGCGCTTCTTGTCTCAACACGAAACCTAAGGACCTGGACCCGGTGGTTTCTGGTTTCCACCGGTGCAAGCTCCGCTGCGCGGTTTTCCGGTCTCCATAGCGTCGCCTGAGGCTTTTGGGGAAGTCACCTGACGTGGCAAAACGGCGGACGTGGTGCGGTCGTGGACGTGAAGATGGTTTAAGACACAGAACTCTCATATGATTCGGTCAAATCCAATACCACAAATTGGACTTACAACCTTGTTTCAGTCCAATTTCAACGGTCATTATATTGTTGCTTCATGTTGCTTCACTTGGAGCCAACCTTCGAGTGTGTCTGTAAAATCAAATCAAACTTTGAAAAACAAAGCGAAGTGTGCAAAGTATTGTATGCTAAGAGATTGTCGACTTGAGATTCCACGCTATATTGGCTTTGCGAAGAGTAAGAGGTAAGGGGATATAGAAGTCTCTCAAAGAACTGTCTCTCACTTGGCGACTCACCACTTCGTAGCATACTATCACTCACACACCTAACAGGAATTGTCTAGGCCATACCATGTAATTGCTATCGTATGCTATATAGTATGCTATATAATTAGTCATAGTGCTACCTGAACGGCTAGGCTGTAATGATGGCTGTGGTACGATCAGGATTGACCCCCATCATCAGCATCGCAGCGACCCTCGCGACCCCATCATCCGACCTTGGCATCCGTGAGCTTGGCCTTCCGCGAGCGCTGCTCCGTGGCTAAGGGGTCCTGGGGTGGACGGAGGCGAGGCTCCGGCGGCGGCGGTAGAAGATGGCGGCCTCTTCCAAGGGGCCATGATGGGGCCATGACATCCATTAAACATCATTAAACCATGGCACCGGACTCAGGTGTGGCTGGACACTTCAGGCAGGAACATGGGACTGCTTTTCAGCAATTCTTTCGCTGGCATGACTCCACACGCAAGATTCTCCGCCTCGACGCGTCTCCAAGTTAAACCCCTTAAACCACATCGACACTGTGTCCAGAATCATGCAGCATTGCACTACAAAGACTCAAACATGTATCTCTTCAGATGTCTTAAGGACTCGGTCCGTACCAAGCGCAGTACTGCGTTGTCTTCAGGACTCGCCCGAACATGGAACTCCCACCGAAATCGCTACCCCGTCGCTTCCCCGGTCGCCTCTGTCCATTCTTTGGGATTCCTGGGACCGTCGAACAGAACGGGATGCCAATGTGTGGCGTCCTCTTGCTCCAGCGATGCCAGGAGCCCCGTTCGGTTCACGTCCTTGTTCCTAGTACTAGTAGTAAGGCCAGGAGCCCCGTTCTAAGCTTCTTGCTCCGTTCGTCGCGATGCCAATGTGTGTGGCCTGTGGTCACTTCGATCGTGACATCTAGTGACTGCATCGAATTGACCATACAAAATGATCTACATCGATAAGAAACTTGTACACATGCGATGTTCATCCCACATCGTCCCACTACGGATGCTTGGCATTGGGTTAGTCTCGTGTCTCGTGTCTCGGAACAACACCTCTGTGCAGAACAATCATTTGCATGGCAATCATTCTCCAAAAACATCGTCTATTGTCAAAAAAGGACAGCAAAGAGCTCAGAATCAAGCTTCTCTGCCCCGAACATCTCAGAATCTCTTGAATCCGATTCTGGTCAGACCACTCGCCGTGGAAGACCCCCTGTAAAGTCTGCCCAGTCTCGTCTCTTCGCTCTCCCTTCGCCGAGGGGCTGGACCAGGAGCACTTGCCATCGAAAGATCCTGCTCCTTTTCCTCGGCACACGCCACACGCCACACGCGTCCAAGCGGCGGATTGTCCCCGTTCGGACTGGAACTGTGCGGATTCAGAGCGCGCTTAGGAAGAGGTTAGGTAGGATTTCAGCCTTAGGTAGCAACACTAAGCATAGAGGGAAGGAAAAACGGGGCCAGAAAACGTGGAAAAAAAACAAAACAAAACAGTAAAATACTGCGTGACTGCCGCTGGTTTGGCTCTTCCTCCCTGCAGTGAAGACCTCACAGCGGCCTCGCCGCTGACCTCGCGCACCTGGCCTCGCCACGGCTGAGCATCCCGGGCGGGTCTTGTGGCTTGGGCGCCGTGTAGCTCCGGTAGCAGCACACCTGGGTGCGGCTAATATGAGTGGGGGTTGGATGAGGGTTCTATGGTTCTTGGGGGTCGTTCTGGTGGTCCAAAGCATGGAATCTTCACCGGAAACGATTCGAAATAGGTGGCCAAAGAACTGACATGCAAACCTTAAGCACTCAAACATGTTGGGTGTATTCATGACCATGTAATACAATTGATACACTGATACACTTGCAGGAAGTATGATCTCTGCATGGCATGTTCCCATATCAAGGATATACAATATGATATATATATATATGAGCGATGGAACATATTTCCGTTAAGATATCACATGGGCCTTCCTTACCTCCTTCTCCAATCTCGCATCGTTTTTGGGGTGTAATCTCGTTCTCCATTCCTGTATCCGTTTGGTGCAATGGATACCCATCTCGTTCTCGAGAGGTGTTCCTACCTCGGTTCACCAGCTAAACATGTCATTAACTAAACCATTTCAAACAAATGGCGCAATTGATGCCCATCTCGTTCTCGGGGTGTTCCTACCTCGTTTCGCTAACTAAATCTGACATTGGGCTATAGAAAAGGAACGCTCCTTCCACTAATCTTGACTACCGCAAATAAAAGAGGAGGAGGAGAGGAGAAGGAGGAGGAGAGCTCTGATAAAATACCTGGCAGGTGAGGCGAAACAAAAAAAAACAAAACGATATTAAACAACCAAGGTCTCTCAGCCTTGCCGTCCCCATCCACCGTCCGTGAGAGCGACGGGAAGCTCCGGAGCCTGGGAGTGCACCTGGCGATCAGGTATGGAATGAATAGGATCTTGTTCCAACAAGATCTTCATGAATATAGATATAGTAAGGATCCTGTATGATCCTGTATGAATAGATCTTCAATTTTCCTCGGGTGTGTACTTCAAACATCTTCAGATCTTGAATACATGGGAATAAGTTCTTTTATCATCTGCCAACCCAGTGTTGTCTTCCAGTGGTCGGTACACACCATCTCTGGCTCAGTTCGACTGTTCTGACCGCGGGGGATGTTGCGAGATATTGACATCTCAGTGATGCACAAATTATGCAGTACCTAGAGCCTGAGACAGCCATTTTGTGACCTCTATACTAGATGATCAACCATGCTCAAACGTCCTATCAAAACAGAGGTCATCAGGTCATCAACCTGACCTCTAGATATATTATACAGTGTAGGCAGTATACCTACGCAGAAAAGTCGAGGCATGTTTCGGTCTATGTTTCGATCTCGTCACTGGTTCCACATCTTCGACGCCACACCTGACAGGCAGAAAGATGAAGATAGCGACGAGTGCCGCCAACAGCCAGCAGCCACCTGAGGACAGCACGGCAGGTCGCCACACGCGGCGGCCCCCTTCGTCACCACCGTGGTGACGAAAGGGGAAGCGGACGGAGTTCTCACACCACGACGGTCACCACCAGTTGATGGAAGACTTCATGGAGGTCTTAGAGCACCAAGCTGTGAATGCAAACATCGATGAGCAATGAGCATGAAAGGATGCAAAAACAACATGTCCTTCAACATCTTCCACGCCTCGCCCCTGTAAGCCTTTAAAGAGACGACATAGTTACATTAATATCCCTAGACCCTGAGTGACCTCAATTTGGACCGACCACCACCAAACCACCAAAAATTTAATGTTCCAATCAAAAGGAGGTGGAAGGTTATGGAACCACCAAAGCTGCCACCCAGTGGCCAGTCAGCCGTGGACGTGCCCCACTCCTCACCTGCGCTGCATGGTTCTCCATGCACGTCGTACAGCACACAGCATGGTTGAGCCGAGAAAGAACTGTGTAAGTGCACATTTCAGAAAAAGATGCACTCTTTTTTCAGCTGCAGGTAACTACACAACAGCCAGTTGACCACGTGTCCGTTTGGTCTAGAACTTCTATAGTTTACTCCAGCAATAGTGATCTTTCGATGCAGCTGTACACTGCACAAAGCTGCAAAGCAACTGTCAGCATCAACAAAATCACCATGATGCCTTATGGCATCGGGTCTGGTAACTATGGTCCACTAACACTTACCTGGATCTAAGCTCAACTTGCCGACCCCCCTGGTGAAAGCTGGCTGCAGTACTGATTTCAGAAGTCTCACTCTTGGTCTCCTCACTCCTCTTGGCCATCCGAGCAGCCCTCGCCTTGTCTGCTTTGACTTTCTTGTCACAAGTGGAAATCGAGTGACCCTCATCCTTGCAGTATGCACAGATGAGCGGCATCTTGAGTGTCCTCAAAGACGGACACTTGTTGCTTGTGTGGCCCACTGCCTTGCAATGATCGCAAGTCTTGAAGAATGGCTTGGAGCATGCGACGGCCTGGTGCCCCTCTTCGTTGCATCGAGAGCAAATCACGTTCGCGGCCGCCATGGAGAATGGCTTTGGGGTGCTAGTAACAAGACAAATGAGCTGAAGGAGCTTGAGCCATAGAACTTTG